TCCTGCACACAGCCGCGATTTCGTCAGTGCTTGCTCACGTCCGCCCTCTGACTGGGGACGCTTTCCCGTTTCTCGTCACCTTGCGCCGTCTCCCCAAGAGCTTTCTCCCTCTCTGCATCGACTCTTCCAGCTGCAGACCTGGGTAAGGTCATCTGGAGTGCGCACCAGAGAGTTGTACGTGCTTTGCGTGTTGCTGCGCTCATGTCTTTAATTGCCAAAGCAAGAGCAAACACATCTGCAGGGAGGAAACGGCGTTTTAATCGCTATGACACAGTTCAGCAGCAGCACTCCTGGGTATTAATTCCCTCTGGCAACGCTAAAATCAGCAAAACTTCAGGCCCCTTTTACTGTCTGCCTCTTTATGAGGTTGCAGAAGTTGAATGTGAGGAAGGAGCGGGTTTTAGGCCCTCGAACACAGAGGCAGATTCAAGCAAGTTATTTTTCTAAAGCTCCTACTTGGCTCCCGTCTGTCATCAGCAACACCCAAAGCCTTCTGGTCAGCTCTGGGTTTGAACGCACTCCCCGCACACACGCACTAAAGGCGTCCGTCCGTTCTTGTGCGAGCTCATGGCTGAGCGGTCATAGCAACCCCTCCAGATCCACCAAGTGGATCCTTTGCTTGTCTTGCCTAAGAAGTTATTAGGACTGTTCACCTCCAGGGGTGCCTCAGGAAAGGGCAGAGCCCAGAGGCCTAACCTCGTCCCCTCACCTCCCCTCTGCCCCAGCTCAGCTGGCTCTCACTCCCCAGGCTGGTTGCTGTGAAACCCACCGAGCATCCCTGCTTCCCTGCACCTCTGCCACCACCACTGCCAACCAGAGAGCGGTATGGAAAATTGGTTTAGGTACCTGTGAAGAATCACCATGAAAACCCACTTGTCTAACACACATCAGCCACTCAGAATTTCAGAAGGGAGTATTTGGAAGGATAAGTCCAGATAAATTAAGGCTAGAATAGAGTAGGGGGATGAGATAATCAGCTCTTGTATATTCAGAATCCCAATTTCCACACCAGGCTTTGTGGAATAAAGAAGGGACCACAGGAATGGTGTCATCTGGACTGCCTGGAAAAAGCTAAGGAACAAGCGACAATCACACAACCGCACATGTCAGAGCTGTAAGATATGTTTGGAATTTGGGTCACTACCAGGAAAGAACGGATCATCCCACAGTAATAAGGAAGCGTTGTTTTAAAGTCTCCAGCTGAATGCAGTGCCTGAGAGCCACAGACATCCACAAAGTCTTTTCTCCCCTCGGAGGATAATCTGTAACATCTCAATCCTTCTAAAGATCTTGAGAACTGAACCTAGGGCAGTCTCAAAGCAGAGCTGTGGTCGGACAGCTCTGAAAGGCCTGATGCTTGTTTTGGGTGGCAGATGGCACTCTGTAAAAATTACCAGAAAAAGGCTTTTATTTTAACCCAAAGCCAGGACCCAGTCCTGGCTGACTGGGGAAGTGCCACTTGACTGGAGGCAAGTTAAGCAGTAAGATCCCACTGTGCAAAGCCCACTTCTGCTCTTCTCCTCATGGAGCAGGGAGCAGATCTCCAGGTCTGACAGCTCCTCTTTCCAGACTGTTTTCACTGATCTGGGTAAGCAGCACCAAGTAAAGCCAGTGCCAATTATTTTCACGAGCCTAAATACCCAAAACCCCCTTCACCTTAACGAGTCCCACAATCTCCAGTCAAGATAAAGAGCAACAACAAGGACGGTGAACAGGTGAAAAGAAGAATTGGTATAGGGTATCTTTTGAAGTAAACCTGAGAAATACAGACCAGCATGATGGGACACCCCAGAGGAGCAAGGTGACCCATCTACTTCAGCTGTGGGAAGAGGTGGGAAGCAAGCAGAGCACTCTCAGAAACGTAAGCAAGCTTCCAACACAAAGCCGTGGGTCAGAGCATCGCACGCAGCATGAATTTATTCTGCCTCAAGTCCAGGGGACAAGGGAATCTGCCGCTCTGTGCACCAGTGAAAGCTGAATGTTCTGCGTATTTTGGATACCATTAAGAACAGAAACATTCTGTCCAATATGTTTGTGTGTGTCCATCCAAAATAGCATTTGTATTATGTCCATCTATGACAGAACGTGCATGAAGAGGAAATCCATTCACAGCACCAGGCCATCTCGATCCCTGCACAGACTCAGCATGGAGATGCCAAGGAAGTTCTACACAGACACAGGCAGGGCTGGAGGGGTGACGGGAACAGGAACGTGAGGCACAGGGAGGAGAAAGAGGCAACAGTTGAGTGTCTCCAGTCCCAAACTGCATTACAGAAATCCCCACTACCTCCTTACTACTTGCTATTAATTGAATAAATGCACCACAAATGTATTTAACCCATTATCTCTAAACCCCAGTTTTAGTGTCCTCTCAAAACCCTCATCTAAACCTCATAGATTCTGCCTTTCTCAAAGCTCTAGACACTGAAAAATAAATTCAAACTTTAATACAAAACTCCTCAAATTTATTTAACAGACTTGCAATGTGCGTATAACGTTTCAGCTACCTTTTAAAAGTACGCAAGCATAGTTATACCTCTGTCATTTTGGCATCTGGGAGCTCGCTGCCTCTGTTGATTTGAAGCGTTTACGATTTCCTCTTTCCTACGTGACTGCACAACGTGAATTAGCTCCCGGTGTTTATCAAGAGCAGCAGAGATGTTGGTGTGCAGGGGAGAACTGCGGAGGCGCTCCATTTTTCCCAGTAAAGTCACAACCTAATGAACATTGTACACGTTACAGGAGTTCACACTGTGCTCATCTAGACTTATGAGAAAGTTATTCAGATTAGGAAGAACAGATTAACGATAACCGTTAGTTTTTCTTGAGAACACTTCATCAAGTGATAGTTGAAGCAGGTAAACTCTTACCTACGATTTCTTCTTCTCCAAAATCGAAGCTGTAGAATACCTGGGTGTGCACAGCAGAACAGCAAAGCTAAAATACCCAAATATTAGGACACCCAGCTTACCAGTTCATAATGGATACACACAGCTGTGAGACAGCCATCTAACAGGAGGTGGGTCCATCAGCTGAATCAAGACCACGGTGGTCCCACTTTCCATCAGCATGGCTGCAACTACCCAGGTGAACACCAGTCCCACAAAGACCAGCACCTCTGTCTGCTGTGCCAGGGCAAAGCAACGGGCAGCATGGAGAGCAACAGGCTCAGTCTGGACTGGCTACAGCTGCTGCCTGCCAGGAAGGATGCTCAGCACTTGAGAGGCTCTTTTAGAGAGCAGCAAGCACAACCACTCAAAAACCCGTTTTGATGGGTTAATTGAAAAGCTCTGTTGTCCTGTTCATCTTACAGCAGTCACATCACTATGAATTTTCCCCTTGATGAGCAATTCCTCCACTGTGGTTCACAGACCACTGAAGAACCTGGTTGCCAGCCTGCAGGAAATTATAAAAGTTCCGATATTGTAGTGTGTCCTGGGCAACGGCTACACCTGATGAGCTATAAAGAGGCCTGATGGTCATCCACAGGTTAAAAGTAAGAAACAGAGGATCTGGAAGCACAGTGCAAAGTGAAGCTCTTGATGTTTCATTGCAACAGAATGGCTGCAGGCTTCCCTAGGAAAAGGACTGGCACAGAGTTTTTAAATGTAAGAAAGAGTGGCTGACAAAAGCATTTGAACCAGGACAATCTGCCCAACCTGTCCCAGATGCCCTCAGAGCAGGCTGCTGCCAAGACAGTTCTTCTGGTAACAGCATCCACAGCAGCAGAACAAAGTGGCCACTGCTGGCCAAGGGCTCAGGAGAGAGCACTCAGGAGGAGCAAGCTCCCACCGCCAGACTGGTCCTGCTCTCCCTTGGTAACCATGCATGTTACTGTGACAGCAGCAACAACCAATGAACTCATTTCATGTTTGTGAGGAAGCTGAAAGTTTAAAAAACCAGAGGAATCAGTCACTAGGACAGGAAACTAAAGCAGGTAAGATTGATTGAAAGTCACTAGACTTGTTTCTGAAGAAAAAGCCAGATTTTAAGAAGTGGCATAGATAGATTACATAAACAAGTGAAACCAAAACGAACCTCACAGTCATTTCCCAGTTTACATTGCAGCACATCCATATCCACAAGAAGCACTTACGTTCTGAAGACCTGGTTTTCAGGTACCTCAACCTCATCCAGCGGGATCCACCGCTGGCAGTTAAGTGCCTATGATCTTTGTGCTAAGCCTGGGAGAAGTGCCAGGTGTCTAAAAGCAAAATCCACACACGTCAGCAGAGCTGGGCTGCCCCAGCAGCCCAACGGGGACCACTGAGGACTCAAAGGCTCGTGTTCCGTCCGCTCAGGCTTTTCAGAAGTTCATCCTGCACTCCCAAGAGACATTTCCTTCCACTCACGACTCAGAGGCTTCAACTAAAGCTGCCCTTCTCTTGCAAAGCACAACTGACCGCTTTTGATTGTCACAGGGCTTGCTGAGGCTGACTGCTGGAGCAGCAGGGTCCCAGCAAGACAACCAGCAGAGCCACAGACCCTGCAGTGTGGAGGTGAGTGCACACCATGGGATAAGCACTGACATTTCAGGCCCAGCTTTGATGACTGTTCTTTATAAAACAATGTGTTTGGAGCAGGGACTATAATGCTTTCCCCAGTCCATACAGACACCCTCACTACTAGAAACAAACTCCTATTTCCCTTCTCTGGCAAAAATTACCAGTCCAGAACAGAAGAGCTTCAAGAGGACAAGCTGAGCGCCCAGCCTCAGAACACCCCACAGTGGGGTGATGTGGCGTTCTCCAGTTACAACAGAGCTGTGGATTTACACCTCCCCAGACACATGGGAGATGAGATACAGTCTAGAGAGAGGACATCCTGGTGTGAAGTTTGTTCTCTGACTATTAAGTGGTTTTAATAGCTCCTGATGACACAGTGAAGGAAGCTACTGTCACCTCTCTCCATCAGCTATGCTTTGTTCTGGAACTGAAAGCAAGTAGGAGTCTCAAACGAAAAAAACAAAGTAAAGCGGTGGACCACCACAAGGATTTAACTAGATGCTCCACATTATGAGGAGTTAATCCCAGATTCAGCCAGCTCAACTTCCACCTGAAACTTGTACCAGTTTCTCATTGGCTGTCACTAAGCTTTTTGATGTTAGAATCCAGGGTCAGCAGCAGCCCCACGGCGCTTTTAGGCATCCTTAAAACTACTTTTCATTTGCTACCTAACAAGTGTTTGAGGTTCTGTAACCTGAAGCTTGGTTCCTCAAAGAGGGGAGATGAAGAACTTTATTAAATGCAGTTTTTAACTACTAGGACAAGGACAGGCAAGCCTCTTGAAAGTAGAAACTTCCTACCACTGATCTTTGGGGTTCATAAAACAGTCACGTCAAGTGTCCACTAAGCCTCCCAACACATCCTTCACTAAGCTCTTCTAAACTGCACGAACAAAACCAGGCAGCTGCACAAGACAGATTTCAGCAGGCCGTGAGCAGACACGGCTCCAGGGCTTATTGCACCTGTGTGAGACTGGCAGGGAAGGCTGCTGCTTACCTCCGCTGCCCTGGGAACGGCTGAGCTCAGCAGAGCTGGTTCCTCCAAGAACCAGCATTTCCCAGAACAACAGCTGCTGCCTTTAATCCCATGGCCCCTCACAGGGGCAGGCTTCAGCATCTGCGCTTTCAGCCTGCATTTTCCCTCCTTCCGCAGCATGAGCATGCTGGCTCTGGCCTCACAGCCTCAGAAGAGCCAGATCAGACCCTCGCTGTCCTGCTGGCAGCTCGTATCAGCTCCACCTGTGCTCGCCTCCTCCCTCCAGTCTCCCTCGCAGAGCTCTGCCAGGCTGCTGCCTCACAAAGCAGCACGGTACTGCACACTGGCACCATTGTTTGCCTACAGAGCCACAGGCAGCTCAGAAGACACCAGTCGCACTTGCCCTACAGGTTGTGGGTGTTTGGCTTAAGAAGCAAACTAGAAATGTTGAAATTCAGGCTGAAGTTGTATCAAGTAGCCATTCTGCATTAATAAATACAAGACTTAAGCAAATACGTATCCAAGTCCTACAAACATTAATTAAGCTTGCTTTTCCCCCACAAAAACTTCCTCTAATACAGAGTCTACATATTTATAGTGAACGATTCTCTGCTGAGTTGCTGAAAACAGAAAAGCTCAGGAGTTGGGCACATCTTAGAGCTGTGCAAGCAGTTAGGCTGCAGGACTGGATTCTGGCATCTCATGCACGTTCCTGTACCAGAAACCACATCCACCTGGCACGTATGGGTACAAATGTGAGCCTCTGCTACTCAGTGGGTTCCCTGGTAACAGCAGCAGTGAACCTGGAGCTGTAGAAATCCTAGGAGAGACTGCTGAAATATTACTGCCTGCATAGCATTTAAGAACAAAGCTATTTTGGGAAAAGCTGCTCTGATCATCTTACATATCTTACATTGTACTCTAAGTTCTGTGTGGTAAGTTCAATAGATTTTTCCTCCTCCCCCCACAACTCACTCTGGCTTGTTCACGTAGCTGATCCACAATTAAGCGATCAACTCTTGATGGGTTTGATGTCAGCCTTGGAATCGGAGTGTTGTTAGCACTGGAAACCTTTTTCCCTTGGAAATTCTTAGCAAGAGCTGATTCAGTCTGCAGGAAAACAAAAGAATAACTCCCTAAGAATGTAAGCTGCAAAGTGTGCTTTATTACAGAAACAAGAAAAAAATATCAGCTATACGATTTCTTTCCCTTAGGGTTTTGGGTTTTTTTTTTTTTAAAGCAGATGATGGCATTTGGGTTTTAACCATTTGGTAAAGCAATCACCTGTTTTAAGTGAACAACCGCTTTACTCAAAGCGGTTCAATTAAAGTAATTATGCCAACATAGCGTGTTTCAGGAGTGCTATGTCTTCAAACACTGACTACAGCCTGTACTAATTTTGCCTGTAAATAAAATGGAGGCAAGTCAGAATTACAAGGCAAAAAAAGAATGAGCAAACAGAAGTAGAGCTCACCCACAAATTTAAAATAAAATTAAGTCAGCAATTAACCTAAATTTTGTACAGATTAGTGAAACTAAAGAAAGCTTTTCTGGTTTGTTTTGTTAAAATGAAATCAAGTTTTATCAAGCCATCAGAAAATTACTTTGAAACCTGACCACAGGATTTCAAATGTCAATCTCTCTCTCCCTGCTATTTCCCTCTGGAACACCTGTAACAATATATAGGTGGCTAAATTTGGTTTAAAACTGCATTTCTTAGACTGTCTTGCGATGGTCCATATAAAGCTGCAGCCTGATTTTCTCTACACATCCGCCCTCACCCTTCTCAGCGCACACCAGCTCTTTCTCTTCTTCACTTTGCAGTGCAAGCCTAGACATCCATCCATCTCTCCTCAAATCAAGCTCATTCTCTCTAACTCCTCTCTCCACTCAAAGCAAACCCTGGCTTTTGTCAGGCAACACTTGGGCAAACTCCCCTTGCATTACATCCCCTCACAATTAATTAGGTTTCCTTCGGTGGACTGGCACAGGGGAGCACCATGGAGAAGCTGATGGCCCCACCATTCCCAGGTAACATCAGGCCAAGCTCTCAGAAAGCCACACCTCCAGGTTGGTTTTGAACTTCAACACCAGCTCAACCGGTGGAGCTGAGACAGCTTTCACATCCAAGGGCAGCCTGAAGTGTTTCCACTGATGAGCAAAAAGGGCAATTGCTTTAAGTGAGGCTTCATGAAGAACTACCAGAATCTTTTAGTTCAAGTGTTTTAATATTACTCTTTCTTCATCCTCCATTTCTGGGGAAAAAGAGCCCCTTCAAATATATCTTAGGTTTAAAACTTCAGAGAAGCAGGAGGTGAGAAGAACTCATTGAAAAAACTTAAAAGTGTAGGGCTCAAGAACTTTAATTCTGGGAATAATTAAAGTTCAGTCCCAGTTCAACATGTAATGAATGCATTTGCTTTCAGAGCTTCCAGATGCATTGTATTTATTGTGTAAAAAGAAAAGAAGTACTATGGTTTTGTCAGTCACACAATACACCTTCCCCAACACAGACAGTCACTGAATTCCCACAGCATTCAGTACATCAGTTATGCTCCCAACCAGGCCACAAACCTTCAAAACTTCTGTTTTCAGTCCAAATATGCAGAGAAGCAAATTATTTTAACTTCGAATCCCCATTAAGCACCTCAACTCAACAGAATTACCATGATCTCTAACTTGTCTGAGTAGGGCGAGATCCAAATCAAACCTGTGATACGGGACTTTTTTCCACTTACCTTCTTTCTTTCTTTCTCCAAAGCTCTCCACTGTTCGTAACACTCTTCGAGTCGAACATGAAGTTCGCTGGCAGGCCCACTGTGGGTTTTAACTTGCCTTTGAATTCCAAATGCTGGTACAAAACCAGGAAAAGAACCATCACCATGCATCTTATCATTAATATATGGGTAGAAGCGTTTTAAATCATCTTGGGAGAACAAGTCGTGAGCCTCCATCAGAGGGACAACGGAACGGCCGAACAGGCGAGCTGATCTCAAGGGGAACGCACTCGAACCAAGCTGCTGGCTACGTCTGAAGTCACCCATCATGCAGTTGCTGGAGAAGCTTGGAGCCTGCAGGCAAGTCAGAGGATTGACTGCGGCACTGTCACTGCTGCCCTGCCTGAGACTGAACTGAGACTCCATTAAATCTTGGTACATGTTCTGCAGCAACCCATCTGTGTGTTTCTGTCCTTCCAGATCATAATGGTCACTCGGCAGCTTCAACTGGAAACGGTGTTTGTTTATATTTTCAAAGATCCCAAACCGCTGAGCTGAATAATTGTCACAGAGTCCGTTTGGCTGCTTTAATCTCTTTTCGCTCAAATACTCAATGAGACTCTCTTCTCCACCCCTAACCAGTGATTCTATGCAAGGAGCAGCCCGAGCTCGTTCCGCAGTCTTAGAACCAAAATCAAAACTTGAAGAAAATGAAGGATTATCTTGACAGTACTTGTGAAATAAATTGCTACTTAAAGGGAAATTTGAAGGTGACAACTGAAAAATATCATTAGAATGACTGGAGCATTTTGGAAAAGCAGGTAAATGATTATTCAGCTTCAACAAAGGACTTGGATTCTGAAATGGGACAGAAGCAGCAGTTTTAGGTTGAACGTTCATCCAGGCTGGCCTGACATTAGCACCGGCCACGGGGTTTGCCAAGGCTGGTAACAGTGGAAGTGATTTGCAGTATTCAGAATTCTGAAGATCGGACTTGGAAAACTGCTGCTTTCCCACCCCATTTGCACAGTCACTATTCCCTGCACCAGCTGCAAAAGGTTTTAGTGCATATTCAAATTTTTGCCCAAAATCGGCACAGAATGAAGCTTCATTTGCAAATTGTTTTTCTGATCGAAGTCCTATAGCCTTGGGAAATGTAAAGTTTTGCTGATCTGAAATTATATCTTCTATTTTTTTCTGAGTTCCTGATTTAACTTGAAATAATTTAGTATAAGGTTCTGCGTCCAGAGGTGGTGTCTCAGTGGTTCCATTTACTGGCTTTTTATTCTCCTGGAGGCTACAGTTGCTCCTGTTAGGCTTTGCTTTACTAGCATGAGGATACTCTGTGTATCTACCATAATCTGCATTTTCGTTATATCTGTGAAACTGTGGAAGAAATGTTTCTGCCCGCTTTTGGTGCAACTGCACATCTGCTCCTTTGAGAGACACCTTCTCCCTTCCGTAAGAATAAGCATCAGCTCCTGAGTCTTTGACTGCTTCTGAATATCCAGCTTGGGGTGTAAAAGTGTTTCTGACGTATGGATAGCTCTGATACCCGGGTGTTGTTCTAGTGTTCTCATTAGTCTGCACGCTGCAACAGTTGGCATGATCACTCCTAGAAGGGTATGAGCATTGCTCTTCAAGGTTTATGCCAGCAAACCCATAACATTCCTCTACTTTTTGCTGCGATGCAAGGTTACCATTCTGCAAGTACTGCTTCTCAGCAGCAGATACGGATTCGCTGCTGTAAAAACCCTGTTGTGAGACAGCTCCAACAACTGGCCTTTTAGTTTCTGGCAACAGGTCATGATGCTCTGAGATTCTGGTTGCATTCATGGGCCACACTGACTTCAAGTTGGAAGGGCAATTCCTTGAAAAACAATACATACACGGTTAGATTCTTATCTGCAGTGCTCCTCTTCCATTTCCAAATGCAGAAACAGGTTTAAAAATTCAATTCTTCCCTCTTGCTCGATTCACTAATGTCTTACTCCAGCTTCTATCCACTACCGTCATCTTTGCGGTTTCCCTTAACTACATGAGAAAACCGATCCTGCCTTGTCTGAACCCACCTCTACACGTTAGGAGCTGCCTGCAATGCCTTCAAGCTGCAAGTGAGGTGTACATACAAATTACGTTCAGTCCATCCTGCCACAAGATTTACATCCAGCACCACCAAAATACTCCTGGTTCAGATAACCATACTTCCCAAACTAGCCGCAATCTTTCAAAGCCGTGCCCTAGCGCTCCAAACAAAACACTTCCCTGTAGTATCTTGCTTATTGCTTCAGAATTGCCTGTGGTTTACACTGGCTTACACTGCTTCCTGCAGGTAAAGCAAGAATAAGCATCTTAGCTCATTTCGTTTCCTTCCACTAATTACCATGGATTAGCACAGGACAATCACTGTCAAGGAACGCTGTAACCAGACTAAGCGAATAACAGAATTGTGCCAGGAAGTCATTACAGTCACAGCCAAATTTGGCACGACTGAAAACAGAAACCCAACCTTCACTGTCTGAAGCAAAGGAATCAGTAAGTTCTCTTTCGATCAAGACTGACTCTCTGAAGTTCTCCCTCACTTCAGCCACATATCTCAGCACATACAGAAACAGTTCTAAATTTGGGAGAGGACAGAAAGGAAGAGTGGTGCCTGGCTTGGAGACCTTGAGAACTGGGCTCCTTTTCTTACCTCTTAGATCTGGAATACTCAGATTTAGGAAAGAGACAGTGAGCTCTCCAAGTATCTCAGGGATGCTGGATCCAAATCCTTCTGTGTCAAGTTATTATGGCTATGTAACAGTTTCTTCTGGTGCTAGACTAAAAGCATAACAAATCTGACACCTAGATAAGCAAATATTGCTTAGGTAGCACTAACATCAAGAAACATTCATCTTGGATGGAATTCTTCCCTCCTGCCAGTTCAGTAAGGTGTAAAGGAGTGTGATTTCGTGTATTCTTTCTGTGAATTTAAATTAATTAAGAAAGAAACCTAAAGTCTGAATTGAATCTTTGTCTAAAAAAAAAATAGGTCAAGGCACATATTCAAGGAGATTCATTTGAATACAGCATTTCCACAATGCTTGTTAATGACTTCTTTAAAAATTGCCCACAAAAACGTTCTGTAAATACCAAAAAGCCAGAAACTACGATGTAATTGAGCACCCAGAGAAAAGCCTTCAAGTATCACAAGTGAAATATTAGAAGACTGGGGGGAAGGAAGGGAAATCGTGAAGAGTCTGAGGACTCGCCAGCAGCAGATGCAAAGATGACTCACAGAACACAGACATCGAGATCAGCAAGGAAGAGAACGCCAGCATGTGCATGGTAGCACTCACCCCTCAGCACAATATGGCTGCGATTTGTCTTGTTCTTCCAAGATGTTAGACACAAGTCCATATAAATCTGTTTCACTGCCATAATCATTCCTTTCAGGCTGAATCCTAAAAATGAACTGCATATTAACTAATACAATTCCTCAATTCAAACTATTTCAGAAGTTAAATTAAACAAAAAAATAGAATCCACCTCCTCCATCAACACACACACACTCTCTCTGACAAAGATGACTACCTGGGATTCGTACTAATCTGAGCAGCAGCAGGCTGCTTCGGATCATCGGCACAGGTAGACCACGGTGTGTACAAAAGGGAAGAGTCCACAGGGGCAGAGTACTCTGATGTCAAAAGGGAAGAACTGTAGGTCTGAGGCAGCTCTACATTTTCTTCATTCTGCATTTTATGTTCAAGAAAAACATTGATTTTAATATTAAGCACATCAAATTGTCATTTTATCATTCTATGTGGTTGTAACTGAATTCACACCTGGAGTAACCAGAGCAGGTAACTGCTGGTGCCTTCTGCCCAGCGCACACACACACACACACACACAGAGGAGTAACAATTTCAGGCCATGTCAGCCTCAAATGTCTGCATCAGTGTCTAACAGATGGTCACTGACAGGAGTCAGGAGACACCCCCTTTCCCCCAGTCATTAAACATTACTTAAGCCACTGAAGAAATCTTACAGCAAATTCTTTTCTAGAGGAAAGTTCTTCTACCCAGTGTAAGTGAAAAGAAGCATTTGCTCGTATGGTTTAAACATGATATGTTTTCTCAGCTCTAAGTAAGTAAAAAAATGGATGGTGTTTTCACAGGGTTAAACATTAAAGATACACAGTATACTCCAAGGAGCAAAGAAGTCTAACAGCTCCAGAAAGCAGCACACACAAACTGGTTTTATTCCCAGCAAGGCTTTTTGCCTCACTATGGCCAGGTCTCCACTTCACACCTCAGTTTCCCATATCTGTTCAATGCTTTGGCAAGCCCAGTTGCTGGACTAAAGGACATTTAGTTACTGGACACCACCCATTCCTTCATCCGTGACTGCCAAAAAAAGTCACTGTCCTTTCTGATGAACATTACAACAATGGAGTTTTATTGTGAATAAACCAAACACTGTTATTTACATTCACCAACTGTTTTGTTTATAAGCAACCCAAACTATTACACAGATATATAAAAAATTGCTTCTAATCAACTGAACCTGTGATTTGTAGCAACCATACAGTGAGCCAGAGCCTGTCATTACACTGCTGAATGCATCAGTCAGCCTCCCGCCAGCTTCTGTGCCACTCCAGCAGCGACTGCCACCTCTGAACGCAACTTTAGGCTAAGCAAGACAAGGAAAAAAGTGGTAGAAGAACATAATTACACATAAATCCTGAGAGCTGCAGATTTTATACCAACATGAACTTATTTAACACTTTAATTTACACAGGTAAATTCTGCTCCGCCTGAGTTTTTAGGGAATTAGTTCTACATATTGACATCAGAATGCGGCCATCTTCACCCTTAGAGACAAGTTCAACCCAACACAGCCCCAGATACTCACGAGGTGTTTGCAGACAGAACAGATGCAGATCAGGAGCTGCCTTCCTGCATTCGCTCCCTCCACACTGGCTGAGCCACCATGGAACAGCAACTACAGGGACAGGGGAAACGTCCTCCCCTTCACCCATGGTGGCAGAGGAGCCATTCAGCCTCTGCGCAGCGCTTGGCACCTCTGGCCCTTCCATCGCTGCTCATGTTTCACTGGTTACACTACACAGATGCACGCACATGCATTTTCAGATTTCAAGAGCTACAATTCTGCTGCAGTACACACACGAGGAGCTATGGTGGAAATCTGCCCCATTCTGTAACTACACAGGAGAAACAACTTCCACCTGAGAAACAGCCCTTTCCCCATCGCCAACCTGCAAGTGCTCAGAAACAGCTGGCCAGTGGGAGCAAGGAATTAAACAAAATGCTAGGTGTCTTTTCAACCTTTTTCCAGAAGGTGAGGTACATGAGGAAAATTTAAAGTTAAAATAAAACTGACTAGCTAAAAAACCTCTTTAGCTCACAACTAAAAAAGTGATGTTATTTGACTAATATTTAAAATACTTATAAGCAACCCAAACTCTTACACAGATATAAAAAAATGCCTATAACCAACTGAACCTGTGATTTGTAGCAACCACACAGCGAGCCAGAGCCTGTCTTTACGTTTCTGAATGCGTCACAGCAGCTCATTTGAAATGCTTATTAAATCCAGAAAAAGTCCAAGTTTCACAGGACTAGCGTTCTGAAAGAATTCTGGATAAACATTCTTCTTTAAAAAGACGTCCTTCTACAGCTACCCGAGGATGAAAACAGCCTCCATACCTAATGCACGTGGTCTACAGCACAATCTTCCTTCTAGTCCACACTGCAGTTACGCTGATGCATTAACACACCATTTTTTCAGATGCGTTTACAGATACATGAACATGCAAAGTCACAGCTCCATTTCTTAAATTAATTATGCCACATTGTCTCTTTAGTTATCTCCTTGTTCAGTAAGGAGACCCAGCTCTTATATGATCTGTGATCTCCAAGAATGGGGAGACAGGTACAAGGAGCTGCTATAAATTGCGACACCCCCCACACCCACCAAACCACATGCATTTTTTTCCCCAAATGGAACTTTTTCAGGCCACTGAAAAGTGTTTTCCCCACACTTTCAAGCTTGGTTTCACAGCACCCATTACCCCAAGACAGGCCTCAGTCGAGCCCGCCCCGGGCAGCCCCACACAGGAGGGCACCGCAACACTGAGAAAAACACAGCCGTGGCAGGGGGGCGAGGCACAAAGCCCCGTCCCCCCTCAGCTCTGCCCAGTTACCGGCGCCCAGGAGGAACCTGAGCCCCGCGACATCTCCCACCG